CAGCTATCCCAGTCCTCAGATTATATCCAGAAGAACAAAAATCAGCATGCTTTAGTGACACATGCAAACCAATGTTTATAGCACCACAATTCACAATAGCCAAATATGCAACCAGACCAGGTACCCACCTACATATGAATGGATAAACATTATGGTATATATACACAATAGAGTTTTTAAGACATTTTATTTTATTAGTTCCTTTTAGCTATACATTAAAGTAGAATCCATTTTGATATAATTATAGAAGAATGAAATATATCTTATTCTAATTAGGACCCCATTCTTGTAGATGTACATGATGGTGGGATTCACTGTGGTAATTTCATATGTGTACATAGGAATATTATATTGTTTCATTTCATTCTCATTACTTTTCCTATTCCCACTCCCATCCCTTAATTCCCCTTTGACTCATCTACTGAATTTCTATTCACTGCCTCCCTTTATTTGAATTAGCCTTCACATATCTCAACGTTTGGCTTTTTAAAAAAAATTTTATTTATTTTTTCATTACAATTCTTAATACACCTTTATCACGTTTGGCTTTTTGCAATTAACTTATTTCACTTAGCATGATAGTGTCTGAGTCCATCCATTTACTGGCAAATGGACATAAAGTTATTCTTCATGGATGAGTAATAATCCATTATGTATATATACACCACTTTTTCTTATCCATTCATCCAATCAGGGTCACCTAGGCTGGCTGCACAGCTTAGCTATTGTGAATTGTGCTGCTTAAAACTTTGATGTCCCTGCATCACTGCAGCATAATGATTTTTAATCCTATGGATACATACCAAGGAATTGGATAGCTGGGTCAAATATGGTTTCAATCCTTAGTTTTTTGAGTAATCTCCATACCGCTTTCCAGAGTGGTTGCATCAGTTTGCAGTCACACCAACAATGAATAAGAATATCTTTCCCTCCCATTCTCACCAACATTTATTGTTACTTGTATTTTTTATAATTGCCATTTGGACTGGAATGAGATGAAATCTCAGAGTAGTTTTAATTTTCATTTCTCTAGCTGCTAGAGATGCCAAAATTTTTTCACTTATGTATTCTTTTGAGAAGTGTCTGTTAAGTTCTTTTGCCCATTTGTTGATTGTGTTATTTAACTCTTTTGCTATTAAGCTTTATTGAGTTCTTTGTATATCATGGATATTACTCTATCTAAGGTGCAGGTGGCAAAGATTTTCTCCCATTCTGTAGGCTGTTTCTTCATTCTTATTGTTTACCTTGCTGTGAAGAAACTTTTTCGTTTGATTCCATCTCATTTATTGATTCTTGATTTTCTTTATTGTGCTTTACGAGTCTTATTAAAAATGTTGGTTCCTAAGCCAACATGTTGGAGTGTTGGGCTTACATTTTCTTCTAGCAGGTACAGAGTTTCTGATCTAATTCCTAGGTCTTTGATTCATTTTGAGATGAGTTTTGTGCAAGGTATTAAACTTCATATAATAAATAGGGGTTAAATTGGAAGGAATGGAGTTTTATTCAGCCATAAAAAAGAAATAAAATATTTCAATTTCTGGTAAATGGATGGAACTCAAAAGTAACATGCTAAATAAAATAAACCAGACTCAGGAAGTCAAGGGTTTTCTCTTATATGTGGAAACTAGAAGTAAACAAGAGGGAAAAAGTGTGTGTGTGGGTAATCCCATGAAAATAGAAGAGAGATCAGTGGATTAGAGGAAGGGGTTAGAGAGGGAAGAAGAAGGAGGGAGTGGAACAAGGAGGAATGGTGAAATAAAATGGACCAAACTATCCTATGTACATATATGAATATATCATAGGGTATTTCACCTTTATGTATATCTATGAGGCACTAATTAAAGACCCCTAGTGTAGAGGAATGAAAACAGGGGAAAGGAGGAGGAAAGGTAAAGAGATGTACTGAAGACTGAATTTGAGCAAATTTTATTTCATATATGTATGATTATGTAAAATGAACTCCAATATTATGTATAACTTTAAGGCACTAATAACAAAATCAGTATGATCTAGATATAATGCAAAGTTGACTAAACCATGTGACTTTGCTCAAAAGCATGCATTCTTTGGCCATATTTAGGATCCTGAATCTAGAATTAATTAGTCCAATTAATTCATGATATATGATAATCACTGCTTGCAGAACAAGCAATAAGACTAGAGAAATGGCTCCATCTTCAAGATTATATATATTTACAGAAAAACTAAAGAGTCAGAAATCTATCATTATTTTCAAAGATGATTAATGGAAATTATACTAACATGTAGGACTGGCTGAAAGGGTCAACCATCAAATTATTTTAATATGACTCACATTATGAATTTACCTTTGTTCCCTATGAATGAAGAGCCTCAGAATATTGCAATTGTTGAAAAACATATGAATGGATTAGCATTATTTTTCAATACCTCCATAGTATTATGGTTAATGTTGGTCTGGATATAGCCTAATATCTTATGTATGTAGATTTTGTGATCTGCTTGGAAAATAACAGGACAAAGACACTGAACAAACTATACACACACACACACACACACACACACTTTTTTCACCTGGATCATTGTTTGGAATGTATCTGGTATTCAGAGACTTTTCCTGAATAGAATGTTGACTTAGGAACAGGTGAATTGTGTTGTTCAGGTCAAAGAGGAAAACTCTGACATTGACCCAGATACATGAAGCATGAAATCTCCTATGGATCTTCCTACTTTTAGTCATGAGCTTGGGTGTCACTTACACGCCACATCAAGGACTTTAGAATGCCTTGTCTAAGCAAAACTCTGTTTAGCTTCATCTGAACATTTACATTTCACACGAACCTTAGTGAATGTTCCTTATAGCCTTTTTCTTTGAGTTGCTTAGGCTTTAGGCTGCTTACAACCTCTCTGACTTTCTGAAGACCAACCACTAAGGTTTTACTCTCTACCTCACCCAACAGACTTTTGCCAGCTCAACCTAATGGCCTTAGGGAGAGGGGTTATCAAGTTAATTCAATAAAAAATATTAAGTCCCAAGACAATCAGTGTTCTAGAAGCTGTAGAAGGTACAATAGCAACAAGTATAGTTTTCACAGTTCACAAAACTCCAATTTTCTTTTAAAATAACTCAATTTGTTTCCTAGCTCCCAAAACTCATCCTACTTAATACAGATATCAAAGGAAGTTAACTGCTAATAAATTCAGTCCTATATAAGAATTTTTCAATTGCTTAGGTTTAAAATTCAGTTCCTTTGGAGTGGCAGCCCTGGGTCTTTTCTCTATTTTAAAGAAGTCTTGCTATCAGGACAGGAGTGGTGTTCAGCCTGTGATTATCCTCTCCTGGCATCTGTTGCCAGGTAAGTGGCTCGTTTTTTCTTTACTGGAAAATGTGTCACCCACCTGAATGGTAACCAATTGTAATAGAATGTTATGAGGTCCCCAGGCCTTATGGGACTGTCCTTGCACAGAAAAATTAAATGGGGAGAAGATTGGGGTGGGGGAGAATAAAAGAGTTAGTTAAGTTTTCTGTATGTCAATTTTGTGCTATTCCTTGAACTTGGACCAATGATCAGTCCATAAGTGAATGGCCATGTGTGTCAGAGGAAGGATTTATGTGAATTAGAAATCATGGCAACTCCCATAATTTTTTGGTGTGTGTTTGTTTTGTTTGTTTGATTTTGCCTTATTCCCTGGTTTAGGCTCCAGTATTCAATTTGGGGAGGAAGAAACATGTGTTCCCTGGTCTAATTGCGAGTGAGCCCCACGAGGGATGACTTGCACTGAGTTCAGTGCCATCAACTGCTGAATCCCCATATTTGTGCAGACAGGGGGAGATGGACTTGTGCTTGTGATAGTATTGTAGACATAACAGTCCAGTGTGTATAGGGTGGCCTCAGGCAGCTTCTGGAAGGAGCTGCCAAATTGTAATGGAAAGTCTTTTTCTGGAATGCTCAGAGATCAGAGAAGAAAACTTCCCTATTCTGACACTACAAAACTTTCCTGTTTCCCTTTGTGGTTATGCATCCTCATAGGTCTGCAGTCATGTGAGAAAATCCAGAAATTTTCTAGGTTCTTTCCTGACTCTTGACTCCCAACTCCCAGTGAAAGGATCAGGATACCACTTGGTTGGGTCAAGATTCTTCCCTTATTTTTGCCTGGCAGACCATGATGAGGCTACCTTTCCATATACATCTACTTTTATTCTTTTAGAACTCCTGTCTTGGATTCTGATACCTGTTTGGGAGCCCTGGCCTGGAAGACGAGGTCCCACATTCTTGCTCAGACACACTCAGTCTCTACTCATTCTTCTGCGGTCCCTCAGCACAATCCACTCTATCCCTCTTGCTCTCACTCAATTCTGCCTAATTTCAAAGTGCTACTTGCCCAGAACATACCACCATTTTACACTTTGGGGTCTTGGTGACTTGCTGTTCCATCTGCCAGAGTACCCTCTGCCCATTATATGCCCAAGAACTTGCTCACATTCCTCTTCTTCTCTCAGGAAGCACTTGGTGGCCCTCTCTGATGCAGCCCCTTGGGACTTCCTTTGTTCTGTTCCAGCCTCCTGTATTATGTCTCAGCTCCTCAGGCGGGCAGCACAGGAACCCAGTGTCCCTGAGTGTCATAGTCCTTTGTCACTGGATGAAAAGAAGCCTGGCTTCACACCATGCAGCATAAGTCCCATCCCCTGGAATCTCAAGGCAGACCTGGAGGCCATGGGGTGAGGAAGACCAAGAAGCAGGGAGACCTGGCTGCCCATCATGACTCTGTGTCTCATTGGTTCTGAGTTTGGGGGTTACTACCTTTCTTCTCTGTGAGAATGGCTCTTTTCTTCCCTACTTATTTTTTTCCTTCTTTATTTTAATGGGTATGGGGTGGTAAGAGCAATAAATTTCCTTAATAAAGTTTCTTTGAATGATTAAGGTTCTAGAAATTTTGGGTATTCTGGGATTTTCAGGATAGATTTTGGAGGAAAGACACAACAAAACATGGAGAAGCTTGAACAGTTTATTTTACAGACCTCAACAGGAACCCCAGCCAATTTTACTTGGAGAAAACCACATGGGTGCTGATGGACACAAAAGCGGTTTCCATTAATGTATGAACAGGGTACGCACAATATATTGTTGGTTTCCTTCGTTGGGAACCACTGAAATATCATCACAGATATCTTTCTCATTAATTACGTCAATCAATATTGCAATTTTTGCAGTGTCTGGAAGAGATGAGGACAAAGATCATATTCCCTAAATCATTTGCAAATTGATTTCCCTTCTTAGTTTTTCTCATGTAGTGTTTCCCTTTTAAAGCCTGGGCTTTGTCCTCATAGACTGCTCCTGGGGTCTTCCTTTCCAGCCACCCCTCCGTTACTCCCCCAGAGCTTGTGCTGAACATTTGTTTCTGGTCTTCCTCACTGGTGGGTGGATAACTCCTTCTTTGGACAAAGCTTGTACTTACTTTTACTGTAAAAGTCCCAGAAGAAGGTAAATGGATTATCTTCACAGAGACAGCCGGTGAATTTTTGGTTGAAGTGACCCTTCATTCGGACATTGCTTCTGAGTTGAGCTCTAACCTGGTGGGGAAAGAGGACTCAGTGTTAGTCTAGGGAACAGGCCGGGAATGGAAAGACAGAGAAGAAGAAAGTGGAGATGGGCTAGAGGCATGCAGGAGCCCACTTATGTGGTGTCCATTCATGGGTCAGTCAGTGTTCTCCAGTTTTCTCTCCTCAAGTCCTCAATCTCCTGTCTGAGAAGTGTGGGTGTGAGACTCAGGAGGGGATAGGAAGATGCTATGACTCCCAGGGCAAGGAGAGCTCATCCCAGGGCTGCCATTCATCAGAGAGCAGCTTGCTTAGATTAACAGCTGGAGCTTGGGGAATTGACCTGTATGAAGTTTTGATCTGTGACCCAGTGAGACAGCATCCTGGCTGCTCAGGTGTACATGTCAAGGTCAGACCTTGTTGTCATCACGTGACAGGGCCCTGCGGATCCTGCGACCTGGGATGACAGAAGTTAGACCTTTCCCTCTGACTTCCTCCATGGTCAGGTAGAAACAGCCATGGAATCCCAAGCCTGGCTGTTAGATAAGCAAGTAGAACCATGATGGTTCCTTTTTCCTCTTTCAGCTTGAGATTGCTTTAGTATCTGCAATTATTGCTTCTGTACATTTCAGTTGTCTAGTTAGCATTTGTATCCCAAGACCCATCCACCCAGAGGGATCTGTGGATGGAGTATACTATGTCTGTGAACTCAGGTGGAAAAAAATTGTATCTTCACTTCTCCAAGATTTTATTAGCATTCTTCAATGCTATACGTTGCCTCTATAGCATATGCAACTTTTTTACCAGGAGCAACAAAATACAGTTCATAGACTCAAATACCTTGAACATGACCTGTACTCATCACCAACCTGAACAAAAAGGTGGCAATTAAAATGGCTGCATCAGTATGACTGAAACATCCGCAGCCTACACATCCCTGAAGCTTGGTCAGGTACCTGGCAATTCCACCTGGAATAACCCTTCACATTTTTCCCATTGGAATGCTGCTCAGAACCCCTGAGGTGGGGATCTTGATGTTTAGAGAAGCCTATACTTGTATTGCTTAGTTTTTTTTAAAATCACATTTGCAATACAATATTGTCATGAATGGAAATTTTATCACTGTATAATTGCAGCAGAAGTATCAGAATCCAGTCGAATTCCAGCATAGCATGAATGAATGACATATGACAAAGACCAGCACAGTTTAGTGAACTTCTTTATTCAAGCTGAGCAACAACAACCATTACAGACAATGTTTTCATAAAACGAAATGTATCTTAATATTCTAAATATTTGAAATGTATATTAATATTCTAAATGGAGAAATCCAGCTAATGTATCATGTAAACACATATGTCACTGTATCAGAACTTTTATTGTTGTCATTCAATATGATAACTATTCTATGTAATCCAATGCACTTTATGCATTTAAAAGCAATTTTCTGATAACTATTTCATATATTTTATAAGACCAGTAAAATGGTCCATAATACAAAAATGCTTAAGTCTTTTGGTTAACCACAAGTGTTCTTTATCCTTAAAGTCTTATATGATCTTTATCTTCAAATACAAAATTATAGGAACAACCTATTCTACTTTGATTTTAAAATAGACAAATGTGAGCCTAAGATCTCAATTTATCAAAAATTTAGTTGTAGAATTATTATAATTGATAGAAAATTAGGGGGTGTAAACTTCAAATTTATATTAACAAATTATAGTTTCCTGAAAGTATAAATTATAATATAAAGATGTTTTTGTAGTTATATTCTTTTGTTGATTGAAATCTACAAATAAAATTGGTTGACTAAAACTAATATAATTTCCTTTGACCTGAGATATTTCCTGTTTGCACAATTACTCACTCTAAGGAGTTTCTTATTCTTTTTATTTGCACTTCGGTAGGTTTTTTAAAGGTCATTTTCTCTTATTGTACTAACAAGATGCTTAAAAACATAATTTTATTGATGATAACATTACATGTCATTTTATTGATTTAAACACTTTATTACACCTATCATTTCTTTAGGGGTAGAAACAGACTTTCATTGTCTATCACCACCAGAAATTACCATTATCACAAAAATTTTATGCATATATTTTCTACACATTTTCCTCATTCTCATTTTTAGTTATGCTTAAACAAATAACAAAATTGAAAACTATCACTCAGGTTCCCTTTCACTCAAATTAGAATAAATGGCTCAGATTTTTGGACTTCAAATAGAAAAATTTGACTAAACAGCAAGAATGTTCTGCACTTTCTGATCAAGACTCTTTTACAAGAATAAAGATATTTCCAGAATATATTTACATGAATAGCTATCTTCATGCTAGCAATTTTGTGTCCCTTAGATCTCATTCAAATCAGGAAACTCATGTTGTAGGGAAATACAGAGTGATGTAGTGCTCTAATCCCAGGTTGCTCAAAGTACTGTCCTTGGAATACAGCTTCTGCATGCTCTGGAGTTCCTGAGACATCTAGAAGTTCTGGCTTCTCTCTACACCTTGGAATCAGAATCTGTCCTTTGACAGGATGGCCAGGTGAGTTTTAGGCTCATCATGATTCGAGAACTTCTGTTCTACTGCAGTCTAATCTACAAATTAGACTTCTCTCCAAGAAATGCTGAACTGGGAAAAAGAGGACAATCTGTGGAGTGGAGGGTGGGGCCAGAACAAGAGCCAACTTTTGGTGACTTGAAGCAAAAGAGCAGAGGAAGGGGGAGCGAAAGGCAGACTTGGCTCAGGGCTCACTGGAGATGAGGCACCATGCTCTGCAAGTCCTTCTGTTCCATGCCTTACCCTACTGCATGGGGTTGCAATCAGTCCTACCAAGAACCCTCTGTCCAGGCTTCCATCCCAGACCAGGAATGCTCAGGGCCTTGGAGGAACTGTGACTGGTTCTCCATCAGCTCTTAGGCTTTGTTTTCCTTTTACTTTCCCTCTTTCTCACTTCTTTTTTCTTTTTCTTTCTCACTCCTTACCCTCCTTTCTCATCTTTCCTAAACCTCTTGGGATCAGAGTTTCCTTATCTCTAAAATGAGAATGGCCATCTGCCCCATGCTCCGACAATTGTTCTGAGTCTCAAGTAGCAAAACTTATGAGGAGGTTAGGTATATCATGCAACACAAAAGTGAGAGACAGCAATTCAATTTTGTTCCTAATAAAAAGTAAGATTTGTCTGGAGGTCCCTCCTCAGGCCTGTACTTACCACCATGCATTCTCTCAGTTCTGTTCGAAGTTCAAGTTTCACACTGACTTCTTCATTTGGCTTTGCTGTCCGTGGCATATCCAAATGAAAATGCAACACCTTCCGTCTAGGTCTAAGAGGGAAAAAAAAAGCACAGAACTCAGTGACTAGCTCATGAGACTGGCAGGGGGACTGGAACCACCAGGGAGCTGGGGGGAGATGGTGAGCTTGGATGAGCTGCTTAGCATTAGAGCCCCAGGAATTTTTGCCTGTGGGTGGGTTTGGATATTGTGTCTGGACTTAGTTTCATTTTAAGAAGCAACTGAATTCTACTTAAAATAGATCAGTTTCCATTTTATTTCCATTGACAAAAAGAACAAGTTTACAAACAGAAAAAAGAAATGAAGATTCAAGTACAATACCACACGTCATTTACTAATAACACCCTACAGGTTCTGCTGTTTATCTGCTGTGGGATGGGAGAGGGGAGTCACCCATAGGAGAAGACAGCATAGCCACAGAATCACATCACTCCAGCAAACATCTCCAAACACTGGCTTTTTATGACTGTCCTGAAAGATCCTCCTTCTTTGTTCTGGATAGGGTCCAGCAATTAGAATTTACTTAGTTCTTTGGAACTGGAGTCCCAGGAAGTTTTAAAAATCTATAGGAAGGGATGTACAGATTTCCTGATTAGGAAAGAAGCCCTCCCTAAGGTTTCTCTGTGGAAGGAAGGGCTTGGCTCACGGGTTTTCCAGAGCTTTGTTGAATCCCAGTTGCAGGCATAGGATCAGGAGCAGGGCAGCAGGGCCAGCCCTGAGTGGCAGCTGGAGAGAGCGCATGCTGAAGGAGGCAGAAGGTGACTTCCCAGAGGAGTGGTGATCCTGGTGTCCAGCACACTTCTTATATGTAAATCAAGGAAGAGGAGGAGCTGCCAGGTAGGTCCTTGAAGTGAATCACCCAATCTTGCTCCCAACTCATGAACTTTCCTTGTTGAGCTGTACTTTGTTTCTTCCTTATTTCCTCAGTATCAGAGCTTCTCAGAATGGCCCTTGCCTGGCTTAAGGACATGGTTCTGTCCCTTCAGTGTCTGCAGTAAGGTGTAGTCCTACCTCCTGATATTGCCAGTTAACAATTACCTTGACAAGTCCAGCTTCCTCAAATGTTGAAGTCCAACACCAAAGAAGCACACTGAGGCAAGCATAGAATAGAAAGTAAGAAGTTTTATTTAAAGATAGGAGAACAGAATTTTCTCCAGAGAAAGAAGAGGACCTGAAAGGCAGAATCCCTGCAATGAGGAAGTCCTATCTCTTTGATACATCTAAAGTTTTCTTTGTTGGTGTACATTCTTACCCCTTAACTTGTTCATTTCCCCTCATGCTATATATCTGATAGGGAGAAAACCCCAAAGGTGGGTAACAGGTGGGCTGGAGGGGCCAGGGTGGAGTGATCATTGCAGGAAGAGGTGCCCAGAGTGAATTTAATTAGCAGTTCCCTGTGTGCTCAGGAGTGGGTTCATTAACAATTGTTTAGGAAAGTGTATAGACTGGGCTTCTTGGGGACATTAACATTTCAATCTCTCTTGGCTGCAATCTCCAACCTTTCAGACCCAAACTGGTTTGGTCTGTTTTTTCAATCTGACCCAATTTATCTATCTTTGCTAAATACCTTTTTTCAATTTGGCTTCATTTCCCCCTCCAAATCTAGGAACTCCTTACTACTATAAGGAAAGTGGCCAATGATTGCCCTGGCTGCCTGGAGCTGGAAGTGGGTGGTGTGGGAGCAAGCAGTTTGGAGGTCCCTTTTTAAAATTGGGCTAGCCGGTGGAGAGGTCTGTGGTAAAATCTGTTTGGGAAGCAATAGGCTGGAGGGTCTTTTGAGAGATGTGTGGTCTACAAGAGATACAAGAAGTTATCAGTACTAGAAGAAGATTAATGCAACAATAAATGTCACAGCATAGGAACATACCAACAAGTATGATGATGACAACAGAAACGAACAATGTTTTCCACCAGGAGGTACCAGAGAACCAAGAATTAAGACGTTGTCCCCATGATAAGGCTGGTGAGGACATGGCCTATATTTGAGTATGTAAATCTTTAAGGATGTCAGTCATATTGCCAGAGTTGTCAGGTATGTGAACACAGCATTCAGTTCTTTTTTTTTTATTAGTTGTTCAGAACATTACAAAGCTCTTGACATATCATATTTCATACATTTGATTCAAGTGGGTTATGAACTCCCATTTTTGGCCCCGTATACGGACTGCAGAATCACATCGGTTACACATCCACGTTTTTACATACTGCCATACTAGTGTCTGTTGTATTCTGCTACCTTTCCTATCCTCTACTATCCCCCCTCCCCTCAGCATTCAGTTCTAATAATGGCTCAAGTACCTCTTTGGGGTGCTGTGAGGACATCTCAAGCCATGAGGTTTTTAAATTTATTTTTATTTTATTTTTATTAGTTACACATGACAGTACAATGATCTTGACATATCATACATTTGAATCAAATGGGGTATAATTTCTCATTTATTGCTGTATATATACGTGACTGTTTTACCAATGTGATTCTGCAACCTGCCATGTGGTTTTGTAAGATGGCTTTCCTCATGTATGTTACTTCTGTGTTAAGGAGAGAAACACCTCAATGTCATGGAGAGCAATTTAAGTATAATTGCTTAGGGTCTCCACATGTCACATTACATCTTTTAAATCAATTTGTGGAATAAGAAACAGTGAAGCTTGATGATCATACCAACAAAAAGCAGATCATCCCCATTTATGCCTGAGATTGGAGAGATTTGCTGGCTGTTCTATACTTGGGGTCCATCTCCCTTGCATCCAGGGATTCCCCATAGTACAACTTCCTATCCAGCCTGGAAGAAGCCAGGGCCATAAGTTAGTTCCACATAGACATTGAATCCCTTTGGGTGCTGGCCAAATAATTTTAGGTCTAGAGAGTCAATTAGTCCCAAAACAATCATTGACTTGTAAAATCACAATTTATTGGCATAGTGACTCTGGGGTCCATCCTAATTCTCTAGTAATGTTCGGCCATTTGTCATAGGTGTGGTTACATTGTTCCCAACAGACTGGGGTTTCTTGGTTAGATGTCCAATGGTGTATGTAAGCCATAAATATCTCTCCCAAATCAGATAAATAACCAACACTGTGACAAATTGGTGGTGATGGTGATGGTGGAGGGTGAAATTGCATGGGCCTATATGTGACTTACCAGTGGCAGAAGTCTGAAGACTGGTCTGTTCTAAGGTGAAAAATCTTTCCATGACCTAGTTGTGGTAAAGTTTGACTTATAGGCCATAAATTAATATCGGCATGAGAAGCAGTTTATAAAGAGGATCTTTCTTCCTTTTTCTAACATTATGGATTGTAAATTTATACAGTCATTTTATTATAAGGGGATACCCACCAAGGCAGTCCAGAGGTGCTGGAGAGGGGTAACAGTTTACATATCCAGCAATTATCTTTCTGTGACCTAGTGGCATATTGTTAGGCTCAATCTTTATCACTGTCTACATTAATAAAGAAAGAGAGAAAGAAAAGTTTACATATCACCATTGTCTCTGAGGAAGGGATATTCCAGGTCTTCTACTCGTGTGCAGAAGTGTCATTCCTCAGATCCTTGGGAAGGAAAAGTCTCTTTGGGAGTCGACTCAGGATGGCAGGTTTGAACACGAGAGTGGTGGATCCAGTTCCTCTGTCCCAGCACTTTTACTGCAGAGGGGGTAGATAAGATTATAGGGAAAGGTCCTTTCCAAATAGGGTCTAAATTTGGGGAATTTGAAGGTATGGTCTTGGTCATAACTAGATCTGCAGGCTCATATAGAGGAGGAGAAGTGATTGGCTCAGATATGTGATATTTACAGATTTTAGCTTGGAACTTGGTTAGCTTTGTGTCATGGGCCACTGGATCTGCCCTTTCCTGATCTTTAAGGATATCATTTTTTTACAAATGGCCCTCCATATAGGAGCTCAAATGGTCTGAGTTCTATTGTTTTGGGGGTGTTCCTAATTCTGAGTAGGGCCAAGGGACACACCTTAGGCCATGGGTAGTAGTATGTTTCTTGAGTGAGTTTTTTTAGATGTCTCTTTAGGATGTCATTAGTCTTTTTTACTCTTCCTGAGGATTGAGGTCTCCATGCTCAATGGAGGTGTTATTTTATGACTAGGGCTTTGGACATTCCTTGAGGGACAGCTACCTTAAAAGTTGCTCCAGTGTCACTCTGGAGGCTGTGGGACAGCCCAGATTGGAGAATTGTTTCTGTAATAAGGCTTTGACTACTTCTCCTGCCTGTTCAATTTGGGAGGGATAGGACTTAGTCCATCCCATAAAAGTGTCTACCATACCAATAAATATTGGAACCCATTGCTCTTGGGCATGTGAGTGAAATCAAGTTGCCAGTCTTCCCCAGGGAACTATTCTGTCTTCTGTAATTCTGGGGGCATCTTGGCAGAGTTAAGGGGGTTATTTCTCTGACATGTCTCTCAGGCTTTGATGATTTGGTGGATGGTCTTTGAAATATTGTTTCCTTTAAGTATCTCTTGAGTTAATTTGAGAGGATTTATTTTACCAAGATGGAAAGACTGATGTAGGGTGATGTAAGAAGCATCTGCCATAAACGTGCTGGCACATGCTGGGACTCACTAAGTTGTTGGCCATAAGGAATAGCAGCCATAGGCATGCTTAGTCAGGCCTAATTACAGTTAATAGAAAGCTATTAGAGGCACTGGCCAAAGGCATGCTTAGCAATAACTGGTTACATTTGATAAGTAGCACAGCTCCATGGACATACACAAAGAACATGTCCTGTTGCAATTACATCATCTCACTGGACATGACCAATGGACATTGACTCTCACTGGGTGTAAGCAATGACCAACAAACACCAACATCTTTGAACTATATTTAAAACACTGTTCTACCACATCAACGAGGCTGCTCTGAGGATATCAGTAAGAATGGGTGCTTTGCTCTCTGTCCCTGGATTGACTCCATCATTCCCTGAGGTCCAACCACCGGCAGGAGAGAACCAGTAGACAATAACAACTTTGCTCTTTGGCTAAAGTTGCTTGGCATTGGAGGTATTTTGGGGCTTATGGTTGCCCAAGTATTGTGTGAAATGTTTGTAGTGCTTAATTAGTGTGCCTTAATTGCTTGTTGGGGTGCTTCAGCACACCCAACACTCTGTGCATTAATTGTTTGTGTGTCGAAGATATGCTTGCATTTGAAGAAAATCTGCCTCTGAGTAATTACTAATAGCGTCGCTCGGGACAATTGGTGTAGTTGGCAGGGTTGCTTATGATAGCTTAAGGTCTAGATATAAGTGATATCTTGGGGTACCAATCTTGAACCAAGAGAGTAGTGATCAATTCCAAAAGATACCTCTGTGTAACTGTGATAAGATTGGCTCTGGTAGGGGTCCAACCTTGGGGAAAGGACCATATACCAAGTTATGATTGCTATTAGCCACCTCCAAAGGCACCCCAGGGAAAACTGTGGTAAGACCGTCTTCTGGGAGGGTGAAAGCAACTTCCTGACAGGATAAGGCTGGATGCGGGAATGGTTAGTGAAATGGTTATATAGACAGGCAGAATTATTAATTGAATGATGTCTGTCAAGCATATATATACCAATAGCACTATATTATGGTATTGTAGAAAGCATGTGTTTAAGGTAATACTGCATATAGCTGTTAAGTTACAGAAATGATGTGGATTAAGGAAAAACTAGACCAATTGAAATTCTGGTCAAAACGAAATTAACCCCCCACAAATCAATGGTGAGGCATAGATAGGGCCACACAGGAAAAGCTCCCAAACAGGGACAACTGTAAAAGTAATGTTAACAAACCC